TCATAGTTTTATCCATAAAAATCTTTTCAAACCCAAAAACAACCTTATCTTTCAAAGATTTCCAAAACATAAAGGTTTCAATCCTCAAAACAAAATCATAAAAACATTAACCTGCATCMTTTTTACCCAGAAACAGATTCGAAACAGTAACAGCTTATTTKCCGTTTAAAACTATATAACATCTTCGAAATCCAGATTCAACAATTAAGTCACWAGYACATAAAGGAATTAGTTTCARAACTACTCACAGTTTATATTCTACAGTAGTTTAAAACTCACCTTAACAAATCACAGGTTCTGAAGATAAAAAGCACCCAGCAACTCACAATAACAGATTCTTCAAGAACACCTTTAACTYGCGCACACACAGGTTCTTCTAAAAGAGTGACAGTGATAAGGWTAACCTTWTCAAACTCTTCTTTTAAATATCCTCACTTASGCGGTGGAGGATTTTAATAATCAAACTTCAAAGATGGTGACAGCTTCTGTCCAATAGAAATACTTTRGGCGGTGGGTTTTGCTTTATAAAATTCATGGTTTCTCAACCATGAAGATATAAGCTTTTAAATAATAAAATAATGTCCACTCAAATAATTTATCACAATTATACACCACCTTATGCATGTTTCACACCACATGCATACACGTATGAATCATATATGTCATGACATCTTTTCACATATATACATGCACAATATCATGTTCACATAATTTACATAATAAACATGTATAAATTACCTCAACTCAGATTGTCTCAAACCCGGTTATAACAAAAATTACACAAAAATAGAAATTTTAAATAGTTGATGTGATACTAATATCGATATATTTTTGTCAAATTTTTATGATATCTTCAAATTTATATTTTACTCAAAAATAAAAACATCATCGCCTTTTCAAAATCACATAAGACCACACTATAACATCGACGGAGATAAAGAATAAAATGTAATATTGAAATCGAAATGTATCTCGCTGCATTTGCACGAGTACTCTTCTAGTATATAATAATAATTCAAATATATATATATATATATATAAAGGACAAATTTTTTTAATATCTAATATGGTCTAAAAAGAATTTAGCATTATATTAAGAGTCCAAGTATATATTAAGTAAGTACATCAGAGAAGAAAAACATGTACAAAAAATTAATTGGTTATTCATTTTATATTATTGTTTATTGTTTCTCTAAGTTTTTTTTATCTACTACTAAAATCTAAAACTACCTTGCATAGAAAAATATAGATATGTTCTCCATCATTCATCTCGCACTGACTCTTTTGATTATTCTATCTGCATGAATTCTTTTTTTGTATTAGAATATATTAGATTTCTTTTTATTAAAGAAACTCCTATCTGTTGAATTTTCTTTTATCAATCATATATTAGAATATATTAGATTTCTTTTATCTGTTGAATTTTCTTTTTATGATTTCAAAGCTACTTTTGTCTTTTCTTACATTATTGACTCCTTGTTATCTAATACTGAGTGCATGAATCTTAAGTTCTCTCATATCTCTAAAACACCAATAAGATGTCAAATTTTAACCAAGATGGACTTTTGATTATAAGATTGATGGTTCTTAAAACATTTGTTTTAACCCTAAAAGTTTAACATAGTGATGAAAATATTAACGTGATGTGATATGAAAACCCAACTGATTTATATTGATTTACTTAAAGTATTGATCTGAATAGTCAATAGTGTGACCTAAAATGATGTCAATCTATATACTAATGTGTTTAGCAGTAGAACGGATTTACGATACTATGTAAAAAGGATATGATAGATAATATTAATTTAGAAGTAATTAATGACAGATTTTTTGCCTAAGAATACTCGAATAAACGGTTTTATATGAATTATTGGTATTTTTTGAATTTCAATGCTATTTGGGATGTTAAAACAATATATTGGATTTTTTTCATACTTATCGAGGGATCTTTTTTACATCTCGTCCAAGGCCTATAAAATGTCATGAATGGACATGCACACAACATATTCAAGTTTAAATCTTCTGGGAAACGGATTTGAAGCTCTTCGCTACACTCAACTATTGAAATGCCTTTTCACATATGGTTCTTGGTTTAACGTCCTGATTAAATATTATTTTATTTATGTCACTTATAATTATATGATATATAAAGGGGAATGATATATGTACCCCTTTTATGTTAAAATCAGGTCAAATCATACATTGGAAATTTAAAAGTAAATATCGATGTTAATGTATGTAGTAAGAAATTAATAGGTAGACGTTCATTTAACAATATATAGTAGAGCATTTAGCCTACCCTTATACAAAATCATTATGGAAAACTTGTCTTTTAGAACTCAACGATTATCCTAATTATATTTTAGATCTTTTAGAATTTTTATATTTAAAATGTGATGTTTATTCTGTATATTATTATGTTTATCCGCAGTTAGTTACACGATTTCAAAAATGGAGGTTTAATAAATTGTACTTATGCAAAATTTACTTGTAATCCTGAATTTTAAGTAATATGCATCAATAAACAGTATTTGATTCATAAAAATGGTTTTTAAGAATTTTTGTCAAATGTTTTATAATATAGTATAGATAAACAAAGATTTTATTATCTATTTTATTTCAACATATTTTGTATATTGTTTTAAAATATATAAAAACAAGAGAAAACTCCAAGATTGGAGAATTATTCAAGAGCATCTTCCAACGGATTATCTGTAACTGAACTTAATGCAAAAAGTCAATGATCGTTAGACAGATGGACCAAAGCTGTTGAGAATTGACAAACACAGTGACGGATCCATGATTTTTTAGACAGTGGTATCAAACCTCTCAAAACCGTTCCATCAAACCAAACGGCCCCTTATAATTTCAACACTTATACAACTTTAAAAATTTACACTTGGACCCTACGCTTTATGGTTTCACAGCCAACCATACCCAAAAGACAGATCCGCCCCTGGACAAACATAAGAAACCAAATCCGAGTTTTTAAAGTTTAGCGATGATTTTTATTAAAAAAATTAAAAACGTTAGGGGACCAAAATTGAACTTATTCCTAAAAATACAACCAAACACAAAATCAATCATGGCATTAAAGATATATTTAAAAACACAAGAGGGATGTTCAGACGAGAACATCAATGTTTTATTGCAATAATGATAAAATTATGTATACATATACATATACATATACATATACATATACATATACATATTCATATACATATACATATACATATACATATACATATACATATACATATNATTTCAACATATTTTGTATATTGTTTTAAAAATATATAAAAACAAGAGAAAACTCCAAGATTGGAGAATTATTCAAGAGCATCTTCCAACGGATTCTCTGTAACTGAACTTAATGCAAAAAGTCAATGATCGTTAGACAAATGGACCAAAACCGTTGGGAATTGACAAACACAGTGACGGATCCATGATTTTTTTGATAGTGGTATCAAACCTTCAAAACCGTTCCATCAAACCAAACGGCCCCTTATAATTTCAACACTTATACAACTTCAAAAATTTACACTTAGACCCTACACTTTATGGTTTCACGGCCAACCATACCCAAAAGACAGATCCGCCCCTGGACAAACATAAGAGACCAAATCCGAGTTTTTAAAATTTAGCGATGATTTTTATTAAAAAAAATTAAAAACGTTAGGGACCAAAATTGAACTTATTCCTAAAAATACAACCAAACACAAAAATCAATCATGGCATTAAAGATATATTTAAAAACACAAGAGGGAGGTTCAGACGAGAACATCAATGTTTTATTGCAATAATGATAAAATTATGTATACATATATGATTATACATACATATACATATACATATACATATACATATACATATACATATACATATACATATACATATACATATACATATACATGTATAGGGAGGTTCAGACGAGAACARTAACCAAATAAAAATAAAAACAAAAAGGATCAAATTAYRTGATTTTACACCACCGCTTAACACAAAAGTGTGCGGGCAACATGGCCCATAACCTCACGGGTGCGGCAATCGATTGTACACGTGGTTTTAGTGTAAAATCAATTATGATTCGACCGTTTTCTATTATCTTATTTGGTTATTGTTCTCGAAACCGACTCTCTCTATATATATATATACATATATGTATGTATGTATGTATGTATGTATGTATGCATAATCAATCAGTGGTTTTAATCCATCCTTTTTCCCTTGGCTGAATTCTTTCTAGCAAGACTGTCGAAGAGGCTGCCATCATAGACACCTCTCATGGCTTCTTTTGACAGATAACCTTCTTCGTCTTTAGCAACCATGTACAGAAATCCCCATTCTAACTTGCTAAATATCCTGTTGGAGAGAAATTAAGCATACATTCAGCTATTCAAAGTGAAGGAAATGATTACGTCTRTAGCGGTCRGTACAAGAACGAACCATCCGAAGAGATCGAGTRCRGTGCGGTTTCCTTCGGTCATGTTCCATAACTCTCTCAAGGTTAGCTTATCGGGCGTCGTTTGGGCGTACTTGCTAAACATGTTCTCGAAGTTAACCGGGAGATACCTGAGAAATGATAGCGATTATATCGTCTTTATAGTGTTGTGCATGTAATTAAGCACATGAAAAGAAATGAAGACAACATGTCTAGTTGTCAAAATAGTGTCTGAATGGATAAATGGGCGAGTGCCCTTGTCTGATTGACAGTTGATGAATGATTTGGTGCAGAATGATTAAGAGACTCTCATGATATAGTTCAAAATGAAATATAATTAATAGTTTGGTAACTGTTTACAATGAAATTAGAGCGTTGAATGGTTAAGGGAGGCCTAGGATAAGAGGGTTTTGAAACCATTAAGAGGCAGACTATTTTTTTGCCAAACAAGATTTACCTTTTAACGATTCAGCGTCTGTCTCTTAATGGAACTATTAATAGGTAAACAAACAACCTCTAAATACCGGGTTATGGCCTAATCGAAACCTTTTTATGCATAGAATCGAGTACTACCTTCCTTCGGTATCATATGTCCCGGAATCGCTTGCATGCTTGCATTTATGTATGTTGGCTATATAAATTGGAAATAATAGGGAAGGTATGTAACCCTGCGATACAGACACGAAAAAGGAGAAAAAACGATCACGGGTTTGAAGGGGGCGAAAAAGAGCCCGAATCGAAAGCATTGTAAAAAGAGCATTTTGAAATAACACATCCTACATAGACTAATTTTTTCATAAAAACAACCTATAAACGATCGGTAAACATTATTTATCGATAGAGGATTTTTGACGTTTTACATACGCTTTCGACTCGTGGAAAGACAGAGGGATTAAACTACGACTTACCGGGAGGGAGCTGTAACTCAATGCTATATTAATCACGAATGCTGCAGTCAAAGAGGTGAATACGTTGAACCCGATTGCTCGAAACCCTGAAAGAGTTAAAAGGTTCGTTATATTTATAAATGATGAGTGAAATGGTTAAAGGTAGAGGTCAGCCTTCTTAGATGTCAATGGTTCAAACCTCACTAAAGATGAGGTGTGCCTGAGTGTGTGCAGGCGTTTTGTATTATATAAAATACTATGTACTTCCAAAAAACAACTGATATAATAAAACATACGGGAAGTGAAATACCTATATAAGTCTCCCAAGGATAAACGATGTCGTTGTTGTCTTGATCGAAGAAGGCGACGTGTTGTTGAAGCACGCTCATGCCTCGAGGATCATGTTCGGGTGTACCATCAGGGTGTTCCATATCTACTGCAGCCATTGCTCTAGCCAAGTCTTTTGAAGCACACAGAATTAGCTCAACCAGAAACAATAATGGTTTACAAAGGGGCCTTCGGTTCAGCGGTATTCACTGACTTAAGACGTCAAGGGTTCCTATTTCACCAAACGTGAATGGGGTGTGCAGTGGCGGATCCAGAAACTTTTATAGTTGAGGGCACATTTAGGGGTGTAGATTTTTTTTTTCAAAATCAAATAATTCATCCGTATAAAAACGGTTTTGGGTTTCCTTTTTGGTTTAAATGGTTCAGTTAACCAAATAAAGATAACTTATTCACATCGATTTTCAGTTGACTTTTTACTAATTCATCAAGGTGTATAACTTTATATCTTATATTTCGAACGAAAACATCAGTATGTGCTGTAAATGGACCGATTAACAATCAGGATATCAAGTTGGGCCCCTTGTCTTGTTCTTATTGAACGCACAATAGGAAAATCTAGTGAACAGATCTTTTTATAACCTTTTTTTTAATTGGTGGGTTTGTTGGGGGCGTAGGACCCCTACCACCATGCACTAGATCCGCCCCTTCGTGTATATGAGTTCCATTTGTCGTATATAGAATATCATATACTTCAAAAACAAAAGGAAAAACTTACAGGGCTTAGGAATGGATAACTCGAGGTCAGTCCGAACAGGTCGTTGGGCCGTCACGGGAGCTAGTGGTGCCGTCGTTGCCATTGCAACCGAGTCACTGTTTATCTCCATCTTTATATGAGGATGCACAGGTTAATAAGACTGGTATTTATAAGAATTAGGATGACTGCGTATACGGAAACCTTTTTATTGGAAGTCTTTTAATAATTAAAATGTGTTGTATTTAGAGGAAATCATAATGTTTTCGTTGAAAAAAATGGTTTAATTAAATTTGCATTTAATGGATAATAGTGGTTGGGATAACTTTTTGTACCTAAATCATACATTTTGTATCGTATTCATCCAATAAAATTAAGACACATCAGATTTTTATATATTTTAGATTTATTTTATTTAAGATCACATTTTTACTGATGAGGTACATTCATATGATTGGTCGATATAAATAGGACGTACGAATTTGAAACATAAATTTTTTTATCTGTCACCAAAGGGTTTTTGGTCTAGCGGTATTTGAACCATTAGCCTCTTAGTTGGTCAAGAGTTCAAAGTTTACTAAAGGTGAAGAGAGTGTTTGAGTTTATTTGTTCTATTTACAAAATATAAATATTATATACTTCAAAAATAAAGATTTGTATATGTCTTCTTGTGTCCATTTGGAAAAAAATAGCTTATGATGCATAGGAGCCCATGTATCGTATACACCTCCAAAATAAAGAGCCTTGCCTCGCAATCACTATTTTATCTCATGTCTTTTTTCGTTCATGGTTCGATATTCTGCCATTGTTGAGTTTGGAACCCTAAACAGACAAACATGAATCTTTCGATTCATTTGGCTCTCACGCTCATTCCCTCAATGTAAATTCTTCATACTTTTTCAATATGAAAAAAAAAATGCAATTTGTTGATATGTTTGGTCTCGTCACTACAGTTTTGTCATCATGATTTGCTATTTTGTTTAGGCATGATGATTTGTCTTGACCCGTCACAACCTGGTTCATTTGTCCAGATCAGGGATGAGGATCCTTGTTTAGCTTAAACTGGGGGATAGGATTGGAGTCGTGTATCTATTCCTATATCCGTACCTTACCCGTGTTATTTAAAAATATTATATATATATATATATATATATATATATATATGAGGTTTACTTTACAAACCACATTATTTGTACAAACCGTACAAACCTCATTCAACCAATTATTATTTTTCATTTTGTTCATTTTTTTGTAATTATGGGAGGTTGATTAATCATTTTTATTGTGGAGAGTGTTAATTATGGATATTATCATCTTCATTATTTTAATTTTAGAGAAATACATGAAACAGTTTCATTAAAATTTCATTAAGTATTATATGAAACAATTTCATAACCATATATGAAACAACTTCATCAAAAAAAAGTATTATATGAAACAATTTCACAAGATTGAACAATTTCATGAAAAATTTGCATAAGATAAAACAATGAAATCGACGAATGAAGATGGTTTACATGGTTTGTATAAATTGGATGGTTTGCATACGATGGTGCTCTCTTTTTATATGTATGTATACTAGTTGTGTACCCGCGCAATGCGGCGGGATCCATGAATTTTAACGATTTTGAAGTTGCACTGGTTTTATAAGATAAGATTTAACGATGATATAGGTTGCACTTGGTCTTTATATATTAATACAATTTGAATAAATAAGAGTTATGGTTCCAATTACAAACTATCGATGAAAAAAATTGTATGACAGTTTAAAATCCAATATATTTAAAATCCAACATATTTAAACGACTCCACAAATGTGTTCGATTTACATCAAGAGCAAAGAACCAAAAAACTTGAGTTTTAAGATAAACACTCAAAACCAATAAAGAAAACTACAAATTTGACAGATTATAAGCCATGAAAAGACAAAAAAAGATGGGTTTTAAAATGAAATTTCAACTGTTTACCCTCTTTCTTGTCCAGAAATTCAAAAAAAAACCCAAGAACATATTAATTCAGAACATATTATACAGTGCAATTTGGACATCCTAACCCCAAAATATATAGTATATATATAAATAAATAACTATAAAAGTATAAATCGTAAATATTAAAAATATTTTTTCACGGTATATATAATAATATAATTAAGTAAAAAACTATTCAATATTGGACTCGTTTTAAAGGTATTAACGAGACGATTATAATGGTGTAACTTGTTAAAATAAAATTGTATTTTTTAAACATGTTTTAATTGATATACGATTATGTATGTTAATTTGATAAAGATTTAAAATAAAACATTTAAAAGTAAAGAAAATAAGTAAATTAATTAACTAATTATAGGGGTATAAAGTATAAATTTAAAATTGTAATTTTAAAAAAATCGGTTGTGAGAGGGTGAGTGTATGTGAGGAAAGGAGGGGGTGAAAAAGTGACTAAAGGGTAGTATAAAGGGTATCTTGGTCATTTAAAATTTTAAGACTTTAAGACTTTTGCTAAATTTGCTTAATAAGATAGTATAGATATATTAATCAAAGGATTACAAAAAAAATCAGCAACAAAAATAGAAATAGGTTTCCACCGGATGCGTACTCCATCGTGCTACGTGTTTGACTTTCAAATGTTTACACAGTTTTGTGTAGACGTAGCCCGTACGGACCTTTTTTTAGTGAAAAGTCATTCTAATGCTCCAATAAATTGAGTAAATTAAGTTTTTAACCCATTTGTTTGTCACCCACCATTTAAACATGAAAAAAAGTCCATAATTTCACATTGAAGACGGAGATGGGGATGTGATTATATTCCTCAACAGGTATAAAAACGGACATTGAGAATTAGGGTCCCTCTAATTTTGTTTGATATTGGTTTCTCCCACGCTAACGGTTGTTAAAAAGGTGAGGTATATTTTCGTATTTCTCTCCCATTTTTATTTCATTCTGATTACAAAACTGACATTTGGCCATTTGGTATTGGATGGTTAGGATTGGTTCTACGGTTCTCAAAATATTTGTGGTTTTCGTTTGAACCCTTCTGTTTTGATTCAAATGAGAAACACGAATATCTTGAGATTTGGGGAACTAATCTTATCCATCCAAATAATTTGATATAACGACCCTCATTAAATGTCGTTTTTCACAATAATTAATTAAAAATAATAATAATGTGGTTGGAGTTTTCCTCTTTTGTTGCTTGTAATTAGAAGTAATAGTTGTTGGTGTCAAAGTCTTAAAAGAAGGAATGATTTGAATTTGTTTTCATAAATAAATATGAAAATTGATGGGGCAACGTGTAATTGAATAATTAGGTTTATAGTTTGACTTTGTTAACCAAAATTTTTATTAAGTCATGTATGGATAAATTTGTCTGTATGTATAAATCGGTGTTGTTGTTTACTTTTTTTAATATGAAAATAAACAGTCTGAACAACATAAATGACTGATTTACCCCTAAATATTAATTATTTGAACATAAAACCATAAAGAGGTTGACGATGGGGTGTCTCATTTGGGAAGGAGACGATTCTTTAAATAAGGAGTAGGGGTGTCATTTTTGTGGTTGAATGGGGACAACACACCATTTTTATCTGTGTGATTAAGCCGTAAGTAAACAATCCAAATGAGATGTCTGAATAAGTTAGATAAACCAATAAATTTAATTAAGCCGTAAGTAAACAACCCAAATGAGATGTCTGAATAAGTCAAATAAACCAATAAGTTTAATTAAGCCGCAAGTAAACAACCCCTTAGTTGGGTCATATATATATATATATATATATATATATATATATATATATAGTGGCTGGTTCAAATGCTAACCAAGATTATCGTGTTAACTTTGTTAACCGAT